ATTTTTTCCCTTTTAATTCAGTCAAAATAGTTGACTGAATTACTCAATATTTGGGTCAAAATAATTGACCGAACAAAGGCAACCCATATCCCATCTTCATGCAAATTCAAAAATAATTATTTCGGTCAAGTTGCTTGACCAAAATAAGAAACTAATTATTTCGGTCAAGCAACTTGACCAAAATAAGCTTACCAAAAAAAAAAAAAAATACCCCGCGCTTCTATTCGAATTTTTTGTTGGAAAATGTTTGAAATTCTGCCTTTTTTGTTTCGATTTCATATCATAATTTATATAATAATAAATCTTAATGTTAATTGTAATATTTGCGTCAATTAATGTTCTAATTGAATATGTGATATTGCAGAAAGAAAAAGATCCTGAGCATAGGGATCCATCATTTGTTGATGTGATTCATGCAAAAAAAAATGCACCATCCAAAAGAAAAAGATAAAACACCAATATATATTGATGAGCAGGCTCAAAGTACACTGTAAGTTTAATTTCTTAGCTTTTATTGTTTCTTGCGGTCAAATCAAGGAATATAGTAACATGTGGATTGATTAATTCAAATAGCATTACCTATTTTGGTCACCTATTTTGACTAAAATATATCATAAAAATGAATAAAATTTTATGGAATTATTTCGGTCAGTTATATTGACCGAAATAAAGCTTCTAGAAACCCTAGCAATTGTATTCCTTTTTTTGAATTTGCTGGTACATTTACTTCGGTCAATATAAATGACCGAATTAATTTCATAAAATTTTTGGCTCCCGCGCCTTGCCTTATGAATTTTTTGGTGGAAAATGTTTGAATTTTCCGCTCCTTTATTTCGGTCAGTTCTATAAATACCCTTTCCCATTTCGTTTTTTCACTTTGCTTTCTTTCTTTGTTTTTTCTTCTTCAGCGTCCACTTTTCTGCTTCTCTTCAAGTTTTCTTCCAGTTCTCTTCCATTATTTCTTTCTTCTTCAGCCTCAACATTTTACTTTAGTTTTTATTTATTTAACTTTCAACAATTATCTTTAACATTATGTAATGTTAATTGTGTAACATTATCTTTATGTTATATAATGTTAATTGTGTA